CGACCGCGTACCTATCGGCAGTGTCGGCGATGTCGATACCCGCGGTGCCGACACATGGTGCGTGCTGTGGCTCAGTCTATGGCTGAGACTGCCGCGCTTCGACGCGCACAATGCAATGTGCCCATGAACCGCACTCATGCTGCGCGTACCCCGGACGTGAGTGACAGGCTCCAGCGGAAACGGATGTACCTCCTCCATCAGCGTCTCTGGAACACTGCACTCTGAATGACGCCCTACAAAGGTATCCGATTCGCGCCTAAAGCCCTCCATCGATGTAGCCGTTGGCCGAGCTAATGCGCTCACTGCGTCCATATCTACGACCGTATCCGAGGACCCACTGCGCTCACTTGACATGGTTCGTCGCTTGGGCAAACGAAGCCGCTGTGTCCCCGTTGTCGTACCAAGCAGTGGCGTTGTAGGTCCCTGGCTCTTGTCGGGCAGCCAAGGTACCGACCCAGTTTTTGTGTCAAGAGATGGTCGGCTCAGATGCATAGTGCGCTGCCGAGCCCCTGTCATCTCGACAGCCGAGCTTGGCGACGTTGGAGTGGGCGGCAAGAATAGCGGACCATGCTTTTTGCCTGGCTGCCCGCTCCCCTGTTCAGCCAAAACAGTCATTCCGCGCTATGGTTGTGAAACGGCCCCGCGGGTGAACCTCTTTATAAAACAAAGGACGGTTAATTAGAGTGCACAAAAAAGTCGAAATAAAAAATAAAAGTCAAACAATCACTTTACAGTAGACGAAAGAAGGGCTGCCCAGCTCACCCCATCTTCTCCAACGCAAAGAATGCCTCTTTGCGAACCAAAACAGCGATTTGCAAGCGATCGCCCAAGCTCCCGCCCCTACTAAAAAAATGTGTAAAAAGGCAAAAAGCGAAACTCCCTAACGGGGAATTGAACCCCGGCCGACTCTGTGAAGACGAGTTATCCTTCTGCCCAATATGCAGTACTTGCATGAGTAGTGAAAGTGTGGGAAGAGCAGAAGAGTAACATGTTCATTTGACCCACTAAACAAAAAGTCTTCAATTGAAAGTCCTCTAAGCTGCTTTAGCATTAGAATAAAGAGTGCCTAAATATGTTGAGATTGGGCAGGATGGCACTCTGGCACACAAGAGTACAGAAAGCCCTGATCACATTGGGGATGAGTTTTCATCAGAAGACTTATATCAAATGTTGCAGTGCAGGAGGAGTATTTAATGGCAAGGCAGTGCCCTAGGCATGCCAGCTGGAGATATTCCTCAGCAAGAAATATATTCTACTTTCACTTATTCTTGACAAGTAAACATGCCTCACAGGGCCAATAATGACTATAAAAAAGAGTAATATAAAGTATGGTGACCACTTTTAATTAAATCTGCAGTATAAAATTTGCTGCTTATGCACATCATGCATCCTCCAGCAGCAAAGCTTGTATAATTTTTTTGCTCTGATCAAAGTGACTGTAAGGATGGGGGATGCAAGGCAGCCAGTTTGCCAGAATTTGGAGGCTCATGATTTCTCTTCTCTTCTCTTCTCTTCTCTTTATTTTTTCTTTTATTATTCAACATTATTTATTGTCTTTATTCCTCACTGTATTAAGCTTGTACTTGTACCCTTGCCAAGTGTTTATTCTTAGACTTAATTTCAATAATTGGTAAGCCTAGTTTAGTCACTGTAAACAACCTGTTTTCCAAGAGCTTGGTTGTCATATCCAATGACCACACATGCCATGCTCTTGCAAGTACCATTTTCAGGATACAATTTGGTATGTATAAATGTCCAACCATATAAAGAGGCCATCATGTCCATAGAGGGTCAAGCACATCTGTGCAAATGTCCAAATATCTAAAAAGTATCCAGAAATTTCATAGTAGACAGAGATTTGTAGGGTTCTGAATTTTTTTGGGAGGGATGATTTTGCCATGTTTAGATATATGTTTTCTACTTCTGTAGAGAACATATACCTAAATACATCAAAAGAGGATCACCCAAAAAAAGGTGGAACCCAAGGGGACCTTGGGTGACAAGGAACCTTTTAAAAAAACTATAGTTTGTGTAGCCACTCATGTCCTTTCATGCTGCTAGAAACCTAATAATGTTCAAAATATCACCTGAATCACAAGTTACTGAAATCACAGCCACGTTTAGAAAGAAGGTTGGTAATTTCAGGTATTAAGATGTCCCCCATATAGCTGTCTGAGATGGCAATGATCTTCAGCCCAAAACTAGCTAGGATGCACTTGCTAATGGCAGTAAGTGACAAATTCAGGCTTGCTTTATGTGCACCAAAGTACAGGACATAGCCATACTCATCTACACCACTTGTAGGGACTGGTGTATCTAGCTTGGGTGCATGAAGGTCCAAGTCACATTTATGAGCTGCTGCTGCTATTGCCTTGTTACATTGACATTGATAATATTGTGCCCATCTGTGCTTTTCCTTGTCATCAGTAACCAAAGACAAGCAAAAGCACAGATGGGTAGAATATTATCAACATTGAAACAAGCAGGCAATAGCAGCAGCACATCAACATAATACAGATATTCATACACTTGAGCTAGATATTCCTACCTCTACTAGTAGAGTAGATGGGTGTGACCATGTCTTATACTTCAATGCACAAAATGATGATTGAGTCATTGTATTGGAGCCCTTATACTTCAATGCACAAAAATCAAGTCTGGACTCATCTCTCACTGCTATTCATGATCACATTATGGGGGACATCTTAATACCTGAAATTACCAACCTTCTTTCTAAACGTGGCTGTGATTTCAGTAACTTGTGATTCAGGTGATATTTTGAACATTATTAGGTTTCTAGCAGCATGAAAGGACATGAGTGGCTACACAAACTATAGTTTTTTTAAAAGGTTCCTTGTCACCCAAGGTCCCCTTGGGTTCCACCTTTTTTTGGGTGATCCTCTTTTGATGTATTTAGGTATATGTTCTCTACAGAAGTAGAAAACATATATCTAAACATGGCAAAATCATCCCTCCCAAAAAAATTCAGAACCCTACAAATCTCTGTCTACTATGAAATTTCTGGATACTTTTTAGATATTTGGACATTTGCACAGATGTGCTTGACCCTCTATGGCAAAATGAAAAGAGGGGTGGGCACCATTGCAGTGGCAGTGGTGGGCACAGGCTGTTTGTCACCAGCAGTCTGAATTCAGCTGAGGAGGTGCAATGCAATTACTGTAGCACAATTTAAGAGAAAAAAGTGCAACATTCAGGTGGGCAAGTATAAGTGTACTCACAGGTGTAGTGGCAAAGGTGGGCATAAACAAAGGATGGAGAAACACAAGAAAAAATAAGAGAGCAAAAAATAAAAATAAAAAGGAGGAACTAAGAAGAGAGGGGTAGCCCTCACCATTGTCATTGCCTGATTTGATTGTTGTTGGCCTATTTTTTATTTTTTTATTTTTATTTTTCCTGTCACTGGCTTTTTTCTCTGTGATTGGCACTCCCCACATGCTAAAAAGACCTTTTTTTTCTAAAGCAAGGCTGGCCTGTAGAGCAGAAAAAAGCAGTCAATCTCTGCTAAGGTTTTTTTTTAAAACACTGATTGCTTTTTAATAAGAGAGAAGATAAAAAAGAGAAAAGAGAAAAGAGAAAAGAGAAAAAGTTACTCATCTGATGTTGGCAAAGTCAGGACAAGCTTGAATGGCCTGTGGTTGCTCTCAATCATCATCTTGGCTGATGACTCTTCAGTCACATGAGTATCAATCAACTGAAAGGCACAGATGGCAAATAGGGCACTATTCTGGGTAATAACATAGTCAATAATCAATAAGAAAGGCTCCACTATTTCTGGCCAATAAGGAGTGCTCTTCAAATATGTTGGCTTGTTTTTCATTTGCAGGAGGTTGTTGAGCATCTTAAATCCCCTGTCATCAGCTAATTTAAGCAAGAGCTCACCTCTAGTGCATGACTCAGTGTCACCAATGGCTACACCCATTTTGCACATTCAGATCACCCATTATAATTAGTGGATACTTGGCCTTATTAATCTCAGCAACCAGCTCTATTGTCACATTGTTGTAAACGTCCATTTCCCCTTCTTTCTTTGGTGGAAGATATGTGAAAAGCAATTGCAGGCAGGGAGTGGTGTGGTAGTTAGCAGCATTTTAGCACAACTAACACTTGGTGTAGGCACATAGGGGGTGTACTTAATTGGCTGAGAGCAGTATGCAGATACAGTTCCAGTGATCATAACATAGGAAGGGATTTACACTCCCTTACCAAGCACATACCCCAGGAGCCTATGCCAAGTGGTAGATAGGCTAAAACGCTGCTAACTACCACAATAGGTATTATTTTGAGCATTATTAAGTTTATAGTAGCATAATAAGATGTGGGTGGCTACAAAAACTATAGTTATTTTTAAAAGGGCCCTCATTATTCAAGGTCCCCTTGGCTTCCACCTTTTTTTGTGTGATCCAATTTTATTGTATTTAGTCACACGTTCTCTACAGAAGTAGAGAATATATATCTAAACATGGCAAAGCCATCCTACCCAAAAAAATTCAGAACCCTACACTTCTCTCTTCACTATGAAATTTCTGGATAATCTTTAGTTATTTGGATATTTGCACAGATGTGCTTGACCCTCTATGCACTTTGTCACAAAGAGAATAGCAAGGTTTATCTACACACACCATCATTCTTGATTATGAAAAAGTCAGGTAGTTAGCTCAAAAATGAAGCTTTTCCATCCCTAATGGTCTAGTGATATAATGGAGATAAGGTATGCTATGCTTAAGAAATTGGTATTGATAATCACAGCAAATGTTGGAGCAATTGATGAAAACTGTAATAATTGTTTGTATTATTGCCACATGCCACAAGTTCTTGACAGAAGACAATATTAATAAATGACGTTTTGTAAAATTTAAAATTGGCTTGGTTATGAACTTGGACCTAACAAATAAATTATTTGATGTAGAGCACTAGGAAGGGTAAAAAAAATATATAATTGGATTCAACGTGAAAAATATAAAAAAAGGCAAAAAGAGAAACTCCCTAACGGGGAATTGAACCCCGGCCGTCTCGGTGAAAACGAGAAATCCTTACCACTGGACCATTAAGGAAATGTCAATTTCAGGTCATATTTGAGCTAACAACCCATCTTTTCATGACTGAGGACTACTGTGTGAATAGATAAACCCCACTTTTCTCTTTGTGACAAAGTGCATAACAACACAAATTCTTGCGCTTAAAGGTTGTGTCAAAAAAAAAAAAAAAAAAAGCAACACAAAATTTACTAAATAAATACTATCCAACAAGTAGCATAAAAAGACATGAGTGGTTACAATATCTAGTTTTTTTTTTTAAATATCCCTCATCACCCAAGGTCCCCTCAGGTTCTGAATTTTTTTGGGTGGAATGGTTTTGCTGTGTTTAGGCTCATATTCTTTACTTCTGTAGAGTATGTATGACTAAATACAATAAAATTGGATCACACAAAAAAATTCAGAACCTGAGGGGACCTTGGGTGATGAGAGATATTTAAAAAAAAACTAGATATTGTAAGCACTCATGTCTTTTTATGCTACTACAAACTTAATAATTCTCAATATATAACCTGTATTGTGAATTACTGAAATCACAGCTGCATTTAGAAAGTAAGTTGGTAATTTTAGGTATCAAGATGTCCCCCATTACATGGGCACCTTTCTGGCACTATTAGAAAAGTTCTCTCTTGTTTTTTGGTGGAGTTTTTAAAAAATATATTAATTTTGATACTATTAATAGTTAGAGTACCACTAGTATTCTTACAACTGCAGTGTGATAGCAGATTATCTACTGACAACAAGAATAGCTGAACTGTGAGCCAATCTAGATCTTGCGTTTTATGTATCTGCATATAACCTACAAAGAGCACCATTCTAGAATTATTAGAAAACCCTTGTTTCTCATGGTTGTTTTTGAAAAGTATATATTTTAAAGTCCAAGGTTGCTATTCTACAGTTTGCATTTGACTCAACTAGATTTAGCAATTACAAAATTTAGCTTGACAGGCTAGGCATTAATGGAATAGCAAAAGATTTATTTGCTCCTTTTGTTAAGCATGGAAAAGTGCGTTTCTCAAAGGAAGTGGTTGTTGGTCAAAGAGTCACTCAAAGGCTTGAGAGGTCTTTGAAAGGGATTCAATTGTTTTCCTTTTGCTCTCCACTCTAGCTCATTTCTTGTCTTGTCTTTTCAACTATTTTACTTTCAAGCTTCTAAACTGCCAGCACTTAACACTCACTCACTCACTCACTCGCTCACTCTTTTTTTTTTTTGCAATGTCTAGCCACATGTCACTAGCACAGAGACTTCCTTCAGATATTCTCAACATTGTTTTTAAACTCATAATTGACCAAGATGCCTTACTAAACCAAGAATTTGGTTCCAAGGGTGTTGATGTACAAGAGTACTTGCAGGTGTGCCACACTTGGAGACAGGTAGCTCTAGAGTATATATGGAGAGTCCTTTACCTTACTATTGATGAGGGTACAGAGTCAGTGTGGGATATTGACTATAATTATCCAATGCAGTTGACCATGCCAATTAATGCTGTGGACATGGTCAGGGAGCTCAGAATTACAGTCTCTATGCCTAGTATCATTAATAGCTCTGCTCTTAAGCTTTTAACAAAGTTTATGGACAAGACTGCCAGTTTTCCTCTTGTTCGAAATATTCTTATAATGATAACTAATCACCCTGGTATGCCAACTGGTGTAGATGATAATGCTGTGTGCAATACCATAGAATTTGCCCAACTACTTCAATCAATTACATTACCCCTATTAGCAACAATAGAGGTAGAACAAGTTGATGAGACTTGTGAATGGCAGGCTTGTGTTGAGGAGGCATATGTGGCATTCGTTAACTCACTATACCACCATGCCAAGCACTTTGAACTTGGGTTAAACAAGATAAACATTCAACTTGCTAGTTCAGTTGAGCACCTCCCTCAGGTTTCAACACTAGTTATTCAATGTAAAAGTTCATTTGAACTGCGTGCTAATATACTTTACAAGTGTGCCAATACCCTTTGTAGTGTGTGTATCGTTTCAGGAAGTGCCAAATCATTACTATTTGATTCTAATGGTAACCACGTCATCTATCCCCATTTGGAGTACCTAAAAATGCTTGATACAGATGATCAGCCTCTAGTTGAAAGAGTTTCCATAAGGGGCATCATACCATTTCCTAAATTGAAGAGCATTTTCATACACATGGAGTATCCCTTTGATGATGATGTTCTATTTCGTGGTAATAGTGGCACGCTAGAATATATAAACATCTTTATAGACAGTAGATCTGTACTACTGCTAAGCAATAGTCGAGAGCTTAGAAAGCACGCCAATACCTTAAGAAAGGTCATCCTTTATGAAGATGATAATAACAGTGATCTAGCTAGTGTCTCTGAATTAGTGATGACAAAATTTTTTACAAACATTTTTGGCTCAGCTCGGTACGTTGGGCTCTTCTTTGCTACTGCAGGATCACGTCTAATATCCTCAAGGGTGCAGCCAGGAAGTGTATTTAAACATATTCAACTGTTGGATTTTAGATGGTATGAAGTGTCACTCTTTCAAATACTAGAGTTGCTACGAGTATGCCCAAATCTACAAAAGCTTGCCTGTGGCAATGGAGGATTGGGTACTGAATTTGAAAGCATGCCCTACAACGAACTACCTGACCATGTTGCTCACACATATAATAATGTGGGAAAACACTTTCACGAGCTACGCTTTAAAGCATCCCTATTTTTGCCTGATGTAATGTCAGTAGATTGCCTACTACTCCTAGCAATTGTATGCCCCAGTCTTGTATTTATTGGTGCAACACAGCATGCTCTTGGCAGATGTCAGGCTGAAATAACCACAAAGTTACAAAGTGAGCCATTTTGTAACTATGCCTCACAGCTAGAGTACCTTTTGAACTAGGTGTATAATGAGAATATATCTGTTAACAAATAGCAAAGAGAAGATATACAGCCAGGCCACACATTTACGGGCGCGTGATCGCCAGCACTATTTAAAGCCAAGGATGGAAATTAAGATCATGATTATCTTTTTTTTTTTTTTTTTTGGATTTTGGATTTTGTAGCGCAGTGACTTTAAAGAGCGTCACTTTTTTTTTTTTGTTGTTTAGCTTTTTGGATATTGTTGACTCAATTTGGATTGTATTTATCTACTCTGCCGAACACTGGCGACTCATTGTATCAAACGCCCAGCGACGAGGCCCCGTTCCAAAAAAAGTAGTTGTAGCCGTAAGGCGCAAAAGTCACATACAAAAAAGGGGGAAATCATGGACTACATAAGCAAAGCAGCACATTTCGGTGGTAGGCCAATTCAAAGCTCGCTCGATGCGCTGGCAGTCGCAGTTGCCACAGCGAGCACCACGACAGAATTCAGCGAGGGCAGCGAGCAAGTGAGCTTTGTAGCGCCACAAATTCCAGAGTCACTAATCGTTGCAACCAAAATTCGGCGTGGTCGACCCAAGCACACAGAGCATAGCCAACTAAGCGAGGCTAAACTGGCGGCGCTTAACGAGGGGTATCAACGGATTGTCAACCAAATAGCGCACGATGCGAGCGAGGACAATGGCGGGCGGCGACGACAGTTTGTGTGTACTGTTTCTGGGTGTGGCAAGGTATTTTATCAGCGAGCACACCTCAATATCCACATTCGCTCGCACACTGGATACAAGCCCTACGCGTGTCCATTTCCAGGATGTGGAAAGTCGTTCCCGCAGCTAGGAAATATGCGAACACATGAGCGCACTCACACTGGCGACCGCCCGTTCAAGTGCGAAATACCAGAGTGCCGAAAGGCTTTTACGCAGCTGGGAAACCTTAAAACGCACATGAAAAAGGTCCACAACATTGCCATGTCGCCAAAAGCCCGGCGAGGCTCGCGCGGAGGCTCGCTTACGCCTACTCACATCTCTCCAGCCGCGCTGCTATCAGCATCTGGTCCAGTGCCGATTGTAAATTTTGGAGACAGCTCTGCAGCTGCTGTAGCTCGGCAGCAGCAGCAGCTTAGCATATTGGCAAATGCGAAACTTTCTCGCTAGGTCTCTATAGTAATAATATCAACGTGTTTCATATAATTTCTGGATATAAAAAAAAGACAAGCAATAGCTTACATGTCTAGATAGAAATGACTCCAGAGAGCTTCTGGATGCGGTTCAGCAGCAGATCGCCTTGCTTGATGGTGTTCTGGTACTGGGCGTTCTTTGTATCCGGGCGATTAGTCTCGACCACGCCACCGACCTTGTCAATGACGCAGTGCAGACGGCCGGCCGCAACAAAGCGCGCCAGCTCCTTATCGATAAAGTCTTGCGTGACGCCAAACGAGTCGGCCATCGACTTGATAGTCAAAGACAGGTACGATTCGAGCAGCTGCGCGTAGCCGCGGATGCGCATCTCGCGCGTGTAGAATCGGCGGTGGGCATAGAGGTAGCGTGAGACGCTCAGGTGGTCAGTCTCGACACCAGACAGGGCGCCAAAGTAGTCGGCGTACTTGCACTCGTATAGCGCCCGCAGCAGCCGAGAGACGTTGGGAATGTAGCCAATGACCTCGACAACCTCGGGTGCGTCAATGACCTTCTTTTTGATCTCAGACCGAGGCATGACTACCGCGCATGCCAGGGCGCCGTGGCAGACAAAGTCGGCAAGCGACATCAGCTCGGGACTGGCGTATGTGCTCAGACACTCGATAAACAGGTCGCTGGCCTCTTTGAACTGCCTCTGGCTGCAGCGCCAGATACACTCAATGGCCTTTAGGCGGTTCCTGCGATCCCAGTCACCACCCTTATTGACTAGCTCGTGCGCGCGGTCAATCTCCTTTTGGATGAGTTGCGGCCTGTAGTAAAACAAGCCCAAGCGCAGCTTGCCAAACACAATGTCGAGCTTTTGGTTGAGCGTTGTGGTCGGCCGCTGCAAAATCTCCTCATACGCCTCGTGCGCCTTGTCGTCCTCGCCAATCTGGGCAAGAAAGACCGCCCGATGTATGCAGCTCTCGTTCTGCTCCAAGTCGCCGTGCTCCTCCTTTGCTTCCTCTACCTTCTTATCCAGGGCCACCAACTCCGCCGC